CCCCAAAACCCCAAAACCCCAAAACCCCAAAACCCCAAAACCCCAAAACCCCGAATGAGGCACAAAATATTGAATAATTTTGAATTTCTTTAGATATACTTGTTCAAAATTCCTCCAACTCTTGTAAAGAATCCTCCAAATACTAATGAAGTGATAGCCATCAGCTTGATTAGAATATTTAGAGATGGTCCTGAGGTGTCCTTGAGAGGATCTCCAACTGTGTCTCCAATAACAGCAGCTTTATGCTCCTCAGTATTCTTTCCTCTTACTTCACCATTGATAACAAGTTTATCGTCTTCTACATATTTCTTAGCATTATCCCATGCTCCTCCTGCATTCGAGAATGAGATAGCAAGTTGAATTCCTGAGACAATGGCTCCTGCCAAAAGTCCACTAACTCCTTCGGCTCCAAAGAAAAGTCCTATAAAGAATGGTGATAAAAGCACTAAAAGTCCTGGAGCAATCATGTATTGGAGAGAGGACTTAGTTGAGATAGCAATACAACTCTCATAATCTGGATCGGCTTCACCTTCTAGAATTCTATAAGTATCGAATTGTCTCTGGATTTCAACTATCATCTTCTTAGCAGCGAGTCCAACTGATTTCATGGTCATGGCTGTGAACAAGTAAGGAAGCATGGCTCCAATAATTAAACCAGAGAATTGGAGTGGTTGCAAAATATTGACAATTCCTAAATTAGTTCTAGTAACGAAAGCTCCAAACAAGGCAAGAGCAACCAAACAGGCTGAACCAATGGCGAATCCTTTACCAATAGCTGCTGTAGTATTTCCAGCAGCATCAAGAGCATCAGTGATCTGTCTGCATTCGTCCAGTTCACACATTTCAGCGATTCCTCCAGCGTTATCTGCGATTGGTCCATATCCATCAATAGTAAGTCCGATAGTGAGAGTTGAGAGCATTCCAAGAGCCCCAAGAGCAATTCCGTACATATCACAAAACTTGAAAGAGATAAAGATAGTCACTGCAAGACAAATAATTGGCACTAAAACAGAGTAGAATCCAAGAGCAAGTCCGAAAATAATGTTTGGAGCAGCTCCAGTCTTACAAGACTCAGCAACTTCCTGGACTGGACTGTAGGCATTTGAAGTATAATATTCAGTGACGATTCCAATGATTAAACCACTCCACAATCCAGTAGCAGTGCAGATGAATGCATGATAATATCTGCAGTTAGTTCCAGTTTCGACAAAAGTGAAGGATGATGGAAGGCAGAAGTAAGCAACAGCATAGAGTGTTGGAGTCATCAAAACAGTTGAGATGATGAGTTGCCACTTGAGGGTATTCTCAACTTTATCAGCACTTGGGGGTTTTTGGATAGTCAAAGCAACAATGGAAGTAACGATTCCAATTAGGATTCCTGCTCCAGTTATCATGAGAGGATAGTAATAATAAGCTCCATTGCTAAATACAATTTCAGATGAGGTAGCTCCCACCACAAGTGCAGCACAGGTTGCCTCAGCAAATGAACCGAACAAATCTGATCCCATTCCTGCAATGTCTCCGACGTTGTCTCCTACATTGTCTGCAATAACTCCTGGATTTTGTGGAGAGTCTTCGTCAAGCCCAGCAACGACTTTGCCGACTAGATCTGCTCCTACATCTGCAGCCTTGGTGTAAATTCCACCTCCAACACGTCCGAAGAGTGCAATAGAAGATCCTCCGAGTCCATACCCAGCGATGGCTTCGAACATGTCGATGTAGTCTTGCTTGCTTGCGTACTCGTCGAGGTAGGCCACTCTGTAAATCATGATGAGAACTGTTAGCATGAACAGTCCAATTCCGACCAGCGAGAATCCGAGCACTGCGCCTCCCTTGAAGGCGACTACAAAGGCGTCTTGGATCGACTTCGAGGCCTCCTTGGTGACCTTGACATTGGTAGTGACGGCAATCTTCATTCCAATGAAACCGGACAGGATCGAGGTTGCTCCACCCAGGATGAAGGCAGAAGTCACCCAGAGTTCTCCAAGGTCTTCTTCAGCAGTGAAGAAAAGCAAGATCGAGAACAGAATAATGAAGATTCCGAGGAAGATGTACTCTTGAGTCAGGAAGGTGGTGGCTCCATCAGCAATGAGCCCGCTTATTTCACGCATCTTTCTTATGCTTTCAACAGATTTCTCATTGCTAACGTTGAATCTCTGGAAATCATCTAAGGGAATCCTAAGAATACCCATGGTATGGTAAATTCCCATCCCAATTCCAGCAATGGAAGTCAGTAGAAGGAATACCTCAGCATATAATTCATCAAAATCATAGCCGCTTTCAGCGTTGGCTATCATATTTATTTTATTTAATTTAAATTAAATAACTCGTGAGCCAATTGGTTTTATTTGTATTGGGGTTTTGGGGTTTTGGGGTTTTGGGGTTTTGGGGTTTTGGGG